TGTAGAATAATATATGAGGGGATAATAAATTTAATCTAATTATTTTTATAAATATATAATATAAAATTTATAAATACAAATATATTTATATATTTTAATATATATTTAAATATTCATATATTTATATATTCATATATTTATATATTCATATTTATATATTTATATTTATATATCTATACTTATATATTTATATATTGATATTTATATATTTATATATTTATATATTTATATATATCCTTATATATTTATATATTTTAAAAAAATAAATTTTAATATTAAATTTTAAAAATAATATTATATTTTTAAAAATAAATATTAAAAAAATTTAAAAATATATATAAATTATATTTACATGTACAAAATATTAAAGATATATATTTATATCTTTACATATTTATATATTTATATCTTTATATATTTATATCTTTACATATTTATATATTTATATCTTTATATCTTTATATATATATATATATATATATATATATATATATATATTTATATATTTATAAAATCTATAAATACAAATATATTTATATATTTTAATATATATTTAAATATTGATATATTGATATATTGATATATTTACATATTTATATATTTATATATTTACATATTTATATATTTACATATTTATATATTTACATATTTATACATTTACATATTTATATATTTATATATTGATTTATATATTTATATATTTATATATTTAAGAAAAAATTAAAAATTTAAATATTAAATTAAAAATAATATTTTATTTAAAAAAAATATATTAGAAAAAGGTTTAAAAATATATATTAATTATATTTACATATACAAAATATTAAATATATATATTTATATCTTTACATATTTATATATTTATAAATTTATATTTTATATATTTATATCTTTATTTATTTATATCTTTATATATTTATATATTTATTTATATCTTTATACATTTATATCTTTATATATTTAAATATTTATATATTTAAGAAAAAGTTTAAAATATAAATTTATACACAATAAAAATGAATTATAAATATTATAATATAATAGTATATTAGTATAATATATTTGTATTCTAATTTTTAAATAAACTAAAATTATGCTAATAATGTATAATAATATACGAGGGTATAATAAATTTAATCTAATTACTTATATATATATATATATATATATATATATATATATATCCTTTTTTAACTTTTTTTTCTTTTTAAACTTTTCACATTCTACATTGTTTTTAAACTCTATCATTTTTACTATATTATCATCCTCATTTCCTCCCATATTCTATTTTATCTTTATAATAATTAGTCTTCTTTTATAGAATACTTTATTTTCTATTTTTATTATTTATTTTCTTATAATTTAAAATAATTAATATTATTTTAACATTTATTTTTATGATTTTTACTATAATAAATAAAATTAAATAGTTTAATAATATCAATTAATTAAAATCATCACATCAAAAACTTAGATAACTACATTAAAATTACTAATTTTAAAAATATAAAATATATTAAAAAAAACTCAAATTATAGATTGGAAATAAAATAGAATAAACAAGTACTCTTTACTTGATATAATATTTAAGTGTATGCACAAATGTTAACCTTCTTAACTATAAAAAAACAGTAGAAAAATATAAAGATAGTATTTGAAGAATTGAATTTTGAAGATAAAGACTATTTTTATATAAATTTATTCTAGTATATCAATTAACAATAATAATACATAAAAATTAAAAACTAAACTAAAAAAAGTAAGATTAAATTTATAAAAAAATACATTACTAAAAGTATCATATTATATTAAGATTTTCATTATCTTCGTTAATTATAAATTTAAATGTGTTTCATAAATAAAATTATAAATTTTCATGTATTTCCACTTTTGATCCATCATAAATAAAAATAAATAATATCTTATAAATGTTGTTCTATTTTAATTCATCATTAAATTTGTTTTATATACAAATTTGATGACTTATCATATTATTAAAAATTTGGATGAAATAATTATGTATGATAATTTTTTAGTATATTATGTTTTTAAATTTGCTAATAGATAAAAAATTTCAGAATTCAAAATGTTAAATACTTTTAAAAATTAAAATTGACTTATTAAAAATTAGGAAAAAAACAATTAATTCAAAAATATAATAATGATAAAAATATTATAAAAAAGAGTTCAAAAATGTATTATAATATTTTTAGTTTTAGTTTAATTATATTTTTAATTCTAAAAGTAGAAAAATATATTGTAATTATTTTAATTAAATAAAATATAATTTAAATTTTTAATACTAAAATTAAAATATTAAATAATAATAAATTTAATTCTTTAAATTTAGTATTTAGAAACTAAAATTATAGTTTCTCTGTTTTAAAAAATTAAAATAAATATTTAAAAATAAAAATAAAAACTAGTATTATCTTAAATTTATTAAAAGTATAATTAAATCTCTATTTTCTTATGTAATTTTAGAAATTTTTTAATGAAAGTCCAATATATAAAAAAGTTGAATTTTTAAAAAGGCACAACCTTAACTTATATTAACTATTTTTTTTTAACTGACAAGAAAAACTTGGTTTTGAAAAAAAAGTTAATAATTTTGAAGTTATTTAAGTGATGAAGTTTCCAAATGTGATCTATTAATTTTTAGTATTAATAATTAATATGGTTTATTAATTATTTTAAAAATGAAAAATATTAATTAGTATACTTAAACTAAAAAATATTTTAACTAAAGATAAATATATTTTTATAAATAATTTAATTAAATAATATATTTATTATCTAATGTATATTGATATAAATTTTTTTTGGTATATCAATTATATGACAACAACCATGGTTAAGTAATTAATAATACTAAAGCAATAAATTTAAAAATTAGATTAAAAATAAAGTATTATAAAATAAAATTATAATAATTTGATTAAAATTGTAATTTTTTAATTAATTAAGTTAATGAGGAATTAAAATGTGATAATTTGATGTGTTTAATTTTTTTAATATAAATTTTTAAAATATAATTTAATTTCAATTGAAAAATAAATTAAAGAATATTTGTTATTAAACTTTTCTTAAACAATGTAATGAATAGTTAATATCACTCTAGTCTTAATTTATTATAATTTAAATTTTTAATAAATTTGATTTATTTTTAATAATATTTTTATTTTAGCAATTTAAAATTAAAGTTAATCTTTATTTTGTTAATATTGAGACCAAAGTTTATTTTTAAAGTATATTTTAAAAATTAAATTATTTTTAAAAAATAAATTACTTTTAAAAATTAAATTGTAAAAAATATACTAAAACAATTAAAGTATATTTATAAAAAAATAAATTTAAATATAATAAAAAAATAATATTCATTAGCGTAATCGATTTCAATTCGGTCGCTCTTTTCTCATTAGCGACCAATATTAATTCGTTCACTATTTCAATTTGTAATTTGGTCGCTAAATCGATCGCTAAATAATTTTTTATTTTAGTATGAAATAGTCATCGATTTAGCAACCAAAATTTTGCATGCAAACTATTGGTCACTATTTCTGATTACTAAATAAAAAAATGAAACCAAATCATATTTTGGTGGCTAAATCGATCGCTAAATTGCGACCGAATAAACTTGGTCGTTGAATCGATCACTAATTGCGACCGATTAAAGTTGTTGCTAAATCGGTTGCTAATTGCGATCGAATTAAATCGATCGCTAAATCGATCGCTAATTTCGGTCGCTAAATGTATTTTTTATTGTAGTGCACCTAGGAAGTCATGGTCAGATTATATTAACATTGGTTTGGAGTAATTTTAAGGTGAACAAAGCACCCAAGTAAGTTTTGAGCTTTATTCCTTCTTTTTTGTATCACTCATGGTATGAGAACTTTTCAGAACTTGATTGATTTCTCTGTGACATTAGACGAACATATATACCGGTTGAAATGATTTAGGCCTTTTAATCATTATTACTATTCTTTGCAATTTGATTTTAAATTTTATTGTTTTGCATCAATTTTTCTTTTGCTATTTCATCAATCCTCTATTTACGATTATTTACTATTTTTAGAGAGAATGATACGTGGTAATAAATACTTTATTATAATTGTGTCATTGTGAGATTTGATATGAGTTAACTATATTGTATTAGTTTAACAACTTATTCATTATTTTTAAATTAAACAATATTTTGTGTGATAAAAATATTGTTATAAAAATATACGAAAAAATTAAAAATTATATAAAATAGTTGAATCATTTAACATAAAATACAAAGGGTATCAAAAGAAAATATGAAGATACAATATAAAAATGTGCATTTTGTTTGGCTTGAATCAATTTCTCCTGTGTTGGACAAAATGTTGGTGGTGTAAGATGGTTAAAATTAGTGTTGAATTTTGATGTTGATAAGATTGATGTGTAGGAATGAGATAAAACGTTAACTTTGATGAACTCCATATTACACCCAATCTTGTCCTCCCTATCTCCATTGAAGACCAAACCGCCACACACCTGAGATACGGTTTATAATTGTTTACAATGTAACACCAACTACTCGTCCTTTAACAAATGGCTTGTATTTGCAACACCTATAGAAAAGCGAAAACGTAGAATGGATTGCTTCGCACGTTTTAGTTTAGAAATGAGTGAGTGAAGTCTGAAATCTCCATTTGCAGGCCTCCAGCGTTATCTTAAACAACATTACATAGCAAAAGAAGTTGAAATGGGATGACGCCAGAAAAGCTGCTGTTAGCTGCTCTATATTCAATTTTGCACAACAGTCCACTAAATAAGACACAACAGAAAACTTCCAACACTTGACTCATTTTTGTACTCAAACTTCTCCTTTTTACCCAAACGACACAATACTCGCCTTTTGCTTCTCATTGTCATGTTCCAATCCACCCTTTCTTATATCACATTTGTCTCTAAATTTCATCTTTTGCTGTCAATTCCATCTTGTCTTCTATTGCCCTTGTATACTCTGCTTGCAGGCGCTTCTATAGTAAAAAACTCTTAAATTTCTATTTCATCATCACCATTATAAAAAAAATATATATTTAAAGAAATAATTAAAATTTACTTGTGCATTTCGTGTATTTTATTTAGAATAATTACTTTGTGATGAGATGTAAAGTGAATTTTATTTGGGTGAGGATGCATAATATTGTAGTATTAATTTTATGCGAAGTATAGTTATATGCTGAAACAGTGGTTGTCCGTCCATAAGCAAGTGTCTCCATTTGTTGGTGTTTGGGACAAGGTTATTCTTGAGACAAAAGTTAAGGTATTATATTATGAAATATTTGCCCCTTTACAGACAGATAAATCAAGTTCATTCATCATCATATATTATGAGTACTACTTTTTCTGATAAAATATGTCGGCAGGACGGAGGTGGGAAGCAAATATAAACATATTTTATCAACTAATAATTCTTAAAATCAATTACTTTCCCACACTTGTCATGCATCATACGTGAACATTACAAACTGCAGGATTTAACTAAGCACATCTTTTTCTGCCGCTTTATTTATTTATTTATTAATAACTACTTCTCGACCGAAATCTGAATCCAAGCCTAACAATCCGCCATGCACTTATTCAACAAAACAAACCCAAAACATGTGAAGGATAACCACTTATTCAACATCTTGCGTATCTAAGACTAAGTTTTTCTTAGTTTTAGAATCAAGTAAATGTTTTATTAATGATTTCTTTTTTCTTTGGAAAGGAAAACAAAATTTACCTTACTGCATAAACAATTTGGGACATGGAAATGAATGAGTTGAAATGAGATATTTTTGTTTTTAGAAAGTGGGGCTTCTGAGTCCCCACCCTAGATGACATATATACCCTAAAAATAATAGAAGAGGAAAATAAAATAGGAGGAGCAGGGCAGCGACCAGATAAGGGAGGCGGCCACCACCAACAGCAACTGGAAGCGCCACCGGAAGGGGGTGGCAGGCAGGTTGTATATATTATAAATATGATTGGAGACGAAAAAGGTGTTTTTGTCCCAATCCTTTCACCACATAACTTGTTCCTCATTCTTTTATTATACCATTTTCTTAATTAATTCCTTTAACTCATATAATATCATTCTGTCATCGTCAAAATGCCACCCACTTGATCGCCATTATTAGTAGATTCTACCTACCATTGCAAGTAGCAGAGTAATTCACGTCAACACCTCCACCATATTCCCCATTTTCAATTTTCTTAGATAACCAATTCTTCAAAGGGACCCAAGACCGTAACCATTCTCCAGTCAAACACCTCGTCTTTATCAACCTCATACATTAATTATCAATTTATATATATATATATATATATATATATATATATGTTTTTTTATATCAAATACTTTATTCGTGTATAATCTCCTTCCGTAACTTACGCTGCATCATTGCCTTGTTTCATTTATATATTCTTCTTTGCTGCCCTAAATTTGCCTTAATTAATAACTCATCAGGTGAGTAATGCCACATGGAACAATGTTCTCCTCACTAACCGATCCTACTAAATTAATCAACTTTCTTTTGTTTTCTTTCTTCAATCGTGTTGCTGAATCGTGTCTGAGAGAGACATCTTTGTAAATTACTTTCATCATTTTATGAATTCCAATTTGACTTTGGTCCATCGAGACGAGGCATATGCTATATGAATATGCATGTGGACGTCGTTTCACTGATCAATTCTCGTCGCATGGGAAAACAATTGTACTCTAATAGCATCGTTCGCGTTAGAGCAAATGGTTAATTAGAGCATGTGAAGCATCATGTGCTTAAATATTTTTTTGTGGGCAGGTGTGTGTGTATTGTCATTAAATAATATTAATAAAGGCTAGGGGTGATGAATGTAAGGTTATGACTTCCGACTTATCACGAGGTTTTGTATGAAACAATCTTCCGAACTAGGTCAATATTCCTTAAATAGATTCTGCCATTTTTAAACAATAGCTATTGACTCTGGTTCAAGAATATTCTCAGTTTAAAAAAAGGTTTATAACTTATGAGGTTATTGTAATTTAATTGTGGTTTAGTAAATTTTTAAATGATGTTCGATTAAAAATGCGTAACATCAGTCCGTACTCTCGTTACTTAATGAACATAAATAGCTTCCCAGAAAGAAAAATCTTGTCCAATATTAGTTCTTATAAGAGTTTATACCTAAATTAACGGAAAATACTTGCATATCATAAATTTTAAATCTTTTGTATATATTAAAATTTACACAATTGTTACAATTTCTTTTGGGAAGCAAATGATGCATATTGCTACAAATGAACCCTATAAAATATTCTTTTGCAAACAAAAACTCTTTTTGGTCAAATATTTATACATGTATAGCTTCACTTTATATATATATATATATATATATATATATATATATATATATATATATATATATAATTCTTTAAAAATATATGTAAAAATTAGTCCTTAAGAAATACAATTATATTTTTAGTCCTTTAAAAAATTATAAAAAAGTCATAAAAGAATATTAATCACTTTCTATTCACTAACATGATTTGTGCATCACTTTCTATTAATCACAAAACATCATTTTTCAATTAATTTCTACACTTTTTAGAGACAGTAAAGAAATAATTATATTTTTTAGTGTTAATTTTTACCAAATTTTCTAAAGAACTAAAAACGAATTTGTGTCAAATAATTGAGTGACTAAAAGAAAACGTATTTGAAAACTTTAAAATACAATCAATTATAAATACATAATAGTATTTATATTATTTGATAAAAGAAGTGTTTGGCTAACTAATTGTGAATATATTATACTCGATTTTCAAAATTTTTAATCACATAATCCTTCACATAGGAAACAGCTAGATCATAAAGTTTTTAATATGTCTGTAATTGTACAAGTTACTCAAATTTCTTACTACAAATAAACTTTTTCATATTGAGGATTGTATCTGAATGGAAGAGATATGAAATTTTTTTATTTTATTTTACAACAGATATAGTATCATATTATTATGAATATTGCATTGTATTTCATCAAATAAAAACATAAAAAAAAAAAAGCGAGGAAAGATATCGATTGTAATCACCAAAACTAGATCATAGATCATTTAGTTAAAAGATATATAATTGTATCAACTAATATTGATTATTGAAATATTGGTAATAGTTATTATAATTTTTTAAAATAATAAAAATTTAAAATTTTTTGTGTTTTGTTAAATATGTGCGATTTAGGAATATATATATATATTTGAAAAATAGTTTTATTTGTCTATTTAGTTAACAAAAATAATATTATAATACTAGTGTGTTACTTTAAATTATTTTCATGGGTTAACATGCATTATTCTAGTTATCAAATATCACATTTAAGTAATCATGTTTTATGATAGTAGTAATTTGATTTGTCACGTCATTAACTAATCTCAATAGTAATTATATTTGGTATATTATTTTTTTTATCTATTCATCAATTTTACTTCCTAAGCATCATTATTTTTATCAACATTAATTTCTCTTCTTCTTTTTTTATCAGAATTTCATTTTAGTCTCGTGACAATTTTTTTTAATCAATTTTGTTTTTCCACCGAATTCAAAATTCAACAGTTTTGCTTTGTCTGATTTTAGTTTGTCAACTATTATTCATTATTGTTTTAGTTTTTTCCTATGAAGTATAACCGTGAAGTAATTATGTAATAATTGTATGATTTTCCCTGTGAATTTCTTATAATTATTTATTATAAGATTATTCTTAATAAGATATCAATAAAAATATTATTTTATTGTGAGTTTTATAAACATAAATTATTTAAAATTAAAGAGAGTTAAGCAAGTCATGTTTATAAGGTCTACATTACAATATTTTTTTTATTAATAAACAATTTTTGCAAACGATTTTTAGAGATGTAATGAGAGATACATCGAAAATGATGGTTGGTTAAAGACATTTTCTAGTAGCTTTAAGAACATAAACAATTCCAGAGTCTTATAAAAACTCTCAGAAGAAATCTTATTACACATCCTTTTTTATTCTTCAGACTCAAGATCTTATATAAGGCACAAATTTTAATTTTAAGACCCCGTTACGATGTATTTTATTAACAAGCATTTCTCAACTCTTTTATGCAAGATAGTTAAGACCTTTGCATTGAAAATACTCTAAAACGTTACAAATTTTCTACTAGTCTAGACAAAAAAAAAAAAGGAAAAAAAAAAGAGAGGTTATCGTCAATTCACAAATCAACAACAGTGAACTGTGTCCCAAAACACAAGAACAATCCACAAGAAGTAAAATTACGAGTTGTTAAACTCGAGAAACTTTACTCTAGTAGGAATTTTTTGGGTGTAAGGGTTCTATGACTTTTCACATTTTTGTAACTTATGGATTATACTTGATAAAACAAAACATATTAAAAGAAAAAGTATAGGAACTAAGAGTGATCAATATTTTCCTTTTTTGTTGAACTAAAAAAAAAGAACATGAAACAATTAATCCTATAAAATACCAAAAATTCAAAAAGAGGAGGGAATACTCTTTCCGTGAAAGGTTGGGCATTAACTTTGTTGGCAAAAACAGTGTGGGGAACATGGGCGACTCTGAAGAACATGGTCCAAACCTGACAAGCCACCACCTTCTCCAAATAAAAATTAAAATATAATTTTATGAATAAACTTGAACCTCCTGCGGCCAACACTGGCTGGGCAACACCTGCTCTATGTTTAAAGTTTGTATGTTGAGATCAATAATTAACCTTCTACTTCCTCAAATTAAAATTGTTTCACTTTGAACCACCCAGGAACATGTTTCAACAAAAACCGCCTGAAGGAATAAGGATACCCGACAATGTCTTCTGCAAATTAGAGAAACAGTCGATTCTCCGATTTTAGTTTCTCAACACCACCCAACATCATCATGCGCACTTTGACCAGTTACAACATAACTTACCGCTACATCATATAATCCTACTACAATAATATATATATATATATATATATATATATATATCTATCCATAAACAAAATTCTCATATTATACAATAAACCTCGGGTCCCTTATTAGATAATATTCAAATACATGTGTCCTACAATAGTCAATTGATTACGTTTGGAAAATATTACATGTTGAAAAATTAAAAAAGATAGATAGGAAATTACAGGAATTCACGGGTCTATAAAATGAAATTTTATGATAAAAAAAGACCTAGTGGGGTAAAGTACAATCTTAGTAGTAGGTAGGTTGCAGTGGGTGAGTCAAAGATATACGCGTAACTGGTGATAAAATGTAAGACACGTAGAGCAGCCAATAGAACCTTATAAGACCACGCGGTTCTGAAAAGCTTTGGTAGCAGCCAAGTCCAATTAAGGCAGCAAAGAGCCGCTACCAGTTGGCTCCCAAGTCTCTAATATTTCTTTCACCTAAACCTAATGTGGCCACTTCCTACCTTAAAATCTTACTCTGAAAAAGATAAAATTAAATAATTAATGTGACACTATAACAGTAGAAATCTTAGATCTTCTATATATTAATCCACTGCTAGTGACTTGTTCAACGTTCCTGTTTCCACTAATTCTGATTAGTTGGTTTAGTTACTCTGCTGCATTATAATATTTCCGTTTTAAATTCCATCCGTCTTACTTAGTGTACACTGACTTGACAATTTTTCTTCTATCAATTCATGCACACCAAGATTATAATTCCTTCTTCCTTTTCAATTCCTTTTGCTTTTTTCACCCTTCTTGGACTGTCTTGTCTACAAAGTCCACGCCACCTTAAATAAACATACCATTTAATAATATCAATTTCTTATTGTTATATATAAAATTGTCTCTTAATCACCATACCCCATCTCTGTCCTGGTCCTGCATGTAATAATTTAATACATTTTAAAAAAATAAAAATTAAACAAAACCTTTTTTTTTTCCTTCTCCTCACATTCTCTCCCTTCCCATCCCTTACATGTCAAGTATATATAGATGATATGGGATGCCACCTTTCTGCAACCAAAACTCTATACCCCTCTCCAGAGTTATACTAGTTCAAGTCGTTCATATAGTCCTGTATCGATAAAAAAAAAAAATATATATATATATATATATATATATATATATATATATATATATATACAGATATATACATATTTCTCAGATATAGCAATGGTTGCGCCTTGTCCAACTTCCATGATGGTAAGAACCAAGAAAACTAAGGGTATGGGAATTCCGACGATCGACCTTTCGTTGGAAAGGTCGAAGCTGTCGGAACTAGTGGTGAAAGCATGTGAGGAATATGGTTTCTTCAAGGTGGTGAACCACAGTGTGCCAAAGGAGGTAATTTCAAGATTGGAAGAGGAGGGAACGGAGTTCTTCTCCAAAACTTCCTCTGAAAAGAGTCAAGCAGGCCCTGCCAATCCTTTTGGATATGGCTGCAGAAATATTGGCCCCAATGGCGATATGGGTCACCTCGAGTATCTCCTCCTTCACACCAATCCTCTTTCCATATCTGAGAGATCAAAAACCATAGCCAACGACCCTACCAAGTTCAGGTACTCACTCATTAATTGTACCACTCTTCTTTTCCTTTCTTTTCTCAACAACTTCAACATAACGGACTTCATATCTGCGTCACAATTTTCCTATCATACTAATTAATACGTGGTGAAAATAGTCATTGTAATGGACTAAAGAACTTAGTTGCATATGTAATTTTTAAATTTCATTCTTAAAATTGTCACTGATACATTTATGAACAGTTTAAGGTTTACTATTAGGATATGATAATTACTGTTTATAGGCATGTGTGTGAGAGGGATAGGTTGAAACCCCGGGGGGATAGGGAGCAAGCCCTTATCTGCTTGTGTTTCTTAAGAGCCAAGCAGGATGGTAAGTGCTTCAGTCTGTAACTTTGACAGATTAATATAATTAACTTTCATTTTTTTTTTTTTATGTATTTGATAGCTGTATTTTCCTTATTGCAATAACATTTCACAGGTTGGAATAAATTAAAGAACAATTATTATGGGTTACTATAAAAATAAACAGGAGAATTTATTATGACAAATGAAGATAAAGGTTACTTAGGAAACTAGTAAAATATTTATTAGTGCCTGTATCCTTGACAGGAACATCTTGCCTTTACACCAGGAAATTATGCAAGCTGCAAAAATTTATAATTCTTCAATATTTAGTAGTTTAACAAGCCCATTTTGTTCTCTATATATATGTGTGTATATATATATATATATATATATATATATAAAATCATTTTGCCTCACCTTACCCTTTTTTAATCAATTATGGTATATGTTAATGTTTTTTTTATGGTTCATTTCGCTATTTTCTATTTGAAAAATTAGTTGTAGACCATTCAAATTGATTAGAAAACAGGTCCATCTAGGCCCTCTGCATATTGATAATCATCTCTTTTCTTCTTCTTTTTCATATATACATACATATATATATATATATATATATATATATATATATATATATATATATATATATATATATATATATATATATATATATATATATATATAGTTTAATAGGCTCTGTCTACCACTTTCCGTCTATAATAAATAAAGTAAAATAACAATTATTATGCTAGCTTATTTATGAATTTTCATCCATTAAATATGAATATTTGAGTTGAAAAGGTATAAGCAACACGTGCACAAACAATGACTGAGTCAAATAACCCTAATTAATTATTTTCTTGGGGGATCCTGACTGATTTGCAGTACAATTTTCCGGTTTAGACTCTTAACATACGTTAAACACATTTCAAAATACCATAATACTAACAATTATCGTCTTTTATGTATTTTCTATGATTGTTCATTAAGCAGGGTCTTCAGCATTAGAATTAAGAGTTTAGTCAAAGATTTTAACAACTGTAATTATATTCATGTTTTTCATCTTTTTCTTAGTGTTTTTTCGCCACCTGTATCCTGAAATGGTGTGTTCTGTCATTTCTTTTTCTTTAAATGCGTGGCGAATTGGCAGCAGATAGATCTGTTTTAGTTTATGGAACACACTTTCTATGATTGTGGGCCAACACATAGAACTAACGTAATTGCACGACAATCACGTTATTTATTGGGTTTTTACAAACTTGATTACGTGGCAGTGTTTTGCAAAATTGATTTTATTTAAGATTGTTGTGAAGTGAAATAGTTATGATGTAAAATTTTGTATGTTTTTTTATTCGATGAAAATTACCAATTTTTTTTTAAGTCTATCCTTTTCGGAATTAGAATAAAATACAGTAATACCGTAAAGATTCCAACATATAAACATTTATATAAAGTATAAGGTGAATTTGTACTATCTTCGAGATCATTCATTTGACAATGGAATATACTTGGGCACATTGTATAGGTAGCGAGTACCCTTCAGTAGGAAAATCACGCGGATAACTTTGGCTTCAAATTTCTTATCTTTTAGGCAGAATTGTGAATGACCCGAAAAGGCTACAAATACAACATGTGGTTATAACCTACATTTAGCACAGTATTAATCAGAAAGGACAGTACAAAGTTAATGTAACAAGTTCTGTTATTTGTGCTATGAGTAGCATTGATCTTGATTCATATTGTGGAGCCACGTTTCCCACTTTTTCTAGCATGCCCGTACTAAGCCAGTGACCATATATCTTCATGTCACCGGAAGAAAATGGACCAAATATTGGGCTAACACTGTCACATAGAAACAAACAACTCGCACAATCAAATCAAGAATACAGAAAGGAGGCTTTTTTTCCTGTTTAAAAAAGAAAGTAATGTTATATCATATGACCCTCCATGTGTCTTTGCCTGCTAGTATCTGGTAACATAAGTAAAGACGCTTGTTTAGGTACACTAAACATGGATTTTTTAACCTATAAATAGAGTGGTACTCAATTTTACAACAAATACAGTGAGTCACGACCCTGCATTTTTGTCTCTCAATTGCAGTTGCGCCGTGAATGATTATATAGAAGCGGCTAAAGGACTAACATGTGAGATTCTTGATCTTGTGGCGGAGGGTTTGTGGGTCCAAGACAAGTTCTCTCTCAGCAACCTCATCAGAGACGTCCACAGCGACTCACTCCTCAGGATCAATCAGTACCCTCCCGTGGCATTAAAGGGCAACAAGAATTGGGACACGTCCAAACTTGAGGCACATCAACTTCAGAACCAAAATAATAATAATAACAACAACAACAACAACATTGGCTTTGGAGAGCATTCTGACCCTCAGATCTTGACCATCATGCGATCCAACAACGTGGATGGCCTTCAGATTTCCACCCACGATGGGTTGTGGATCCCTGTCCCCCCTGACCCCAATGAGTTCTTCGTTATGGTTGGTGATGCCCTGCAGGTTGGTTTCTAATCAACTCAATATCACACTCACAACCACGATTGCCATTAATCAACTTTTCAATTCTTTCAATTCAATATCATTTCTTTCCTATTTCACTCGTGATCAATTCAATAAATACTATACCTTAGTTAATATGTCAACTAAGAGAGATATTTAGCTACATTTGAAGTTTGTACATGACTTAATCCATTCCCCCACAGACCACAGTAGACAAAATAATTCCCATTCAAATGATTTCACGATGGCTTTAAAATTATTTGAGTATCATTTTGCTAGCAGCAACACAGTAACAAGTTGTTTGATATGTTTGTATACTTTTTCTTAGGTTTTGACAAATGGAAGGTTTGTAAGCGTGAGACACAGAGTATTGACCAACACAACAAAGGCCAGAATGTCAATGATGTACTTTGCAGCACCACCGCTAAATTGGTGGATCACTCCACTGCCGAAGATGGTGACACCCCACAATCCAAGTCAGTATAAGCCCTTCACGTGGGCCCAATACAAGCAAGCAGCATACTCTCTACGATTGGGAGACACTCGACTTGATCTCTTCAAGATCCAACGACAACAAGATACCCCTCTCGCATCTGCTTCTCCCTGACACTTAGATTGCATTCATTGTGCATATTCTCCCACCAACTTATGTTAGTCAACAGAGAGCAGGACTTGGAGTTTCACACCAGCCCCCCCCTCTCTCCCTCTCTCTCTCTCTCTCTCTTGTTTTATATAATATAGCCTTTATAGTTTCATAGGGTTGTAAAAGGTCACCATTAGTGATTTACCTTGGTCGAAAAGTAATCCACCTAGTAGCTACTGTTGTAACATATATCCACCTTTGAATTCCTATACAAGGGTATTTTGACATAATGAATGAATTATTATCTATCTATTCAGCACCACCATCATTTATTTATCTTTTCTTCTGTGCTTCAGGCAAAATAATATTGAAACGAGTTCGGGTATAGTATAGTTTTTAGCAACTGTTAACGCTTATTAAAAAATAATGATTAATTAAGGTTTCGTGACTCGGTTTGTGTTCAAAAAGTTGGAATCTTTTTTTGTTGGATAAGTACAACATGCTAGCATGTTTAGTTTTATTTATTTATTTAAAATATAAAAATCTATGAGGCTGATATTCTGGTCTTCGTTGACACTGACAGAAGAGAAAGCCAGCTACTAGAATTTGAAAGTCAACTTAGTTTTTGACGGAGAGTAGAAAACTAGAAACCAGATAAATCTGTTCTGTCTACTACACACATAAATCTAAGCTCATGACCAGTCAAAGCAAGTGTTTTCTGAAAATGCGATAATTTTATATCTTTAGACTCGTAGACATATTTAGGCGGAAATATAAATATCATACATCGACAAGTCTCATTTCATTAGGACTGTGTAAAGGCTTGGCAATATTTTTATCGTTTTAATATTTTGTTTTCACGAATTTAGAATATTATTTAGATAAGGAAAAAAAAAAATACAATTCTTATGGAGATAATGTTAGTTTTTAAATTTCGTCTTATGGAGATAAGGTTTTCTACAATAATATATTTTCTGTATTAAAAACCAGTAGTTGGAATCAAGGTATCTTGGCAAGTTTGTTGAAATCGAAGTAAGTTTTTCATAAATTGCGCCTCGTTTCTTTGATGGAGAAAACCATGATTTTGGGCAGTGAAAAGTAATGACACCTAAAGCTTTAGATCTGAGAGAGGACTTGAATGAAGATTACGATGTTGCTTTCCAGTCAAACAATATTTCCACCATTAACCAGAAAAAAAGTTCACCAAAAAAAAAAAATAAGAAGGAAAAGTGAAGGCACTTATTTTATGGTGTTTCACAAACCATTTTCACCAAAATCATGAATCTTACAATTGTAAAAACAATTTGTGATTACAAGAAAGGAAGAACATGAAAGGATATACACTATGAGAATTGTTAGTATTTTAGGAAGGATAGGAAATATGATTTGATGTTTAGTAGTGAGATTTGTGTATAAAATAGTTTTTAGAAAGAGATGGACAAATAGGAGAAGGTTTGTATGAGGGAAGATAGTAATTGATCTTGAAAGTGCTACAAGATATGCAGGAGCTTGTATTAAATTTTTTCACACATACAAAGACTCACTTCATGTCTATTTATAGACTTTACTTACAAAATTCTAGAATTTTCTACTAATTTCAGTGTTTTCTATACTATTCTATTTCTACACATTTCTTCTTCTTTTTCTTTTTCTAGAATCATGTTGTAGCTTCTACTAGTACACATATGTTTTCTACATAATTCTAGATTTTCTTAACTCTTTCAAACATTTCTAGAATCTTCTAAGGATTCTAGATATTACTCATATGTAATTCCTAATTATAGTAACATCTAAGATTTTATATTCTAGATCTTTCTAGAATTTGTATCATCTTTCAACACTCCTCCTTGATGCAAATTCTTGTAACTCCAAGCATGAAACGTAATTGTTCAAACTTGGCTCTTGGTAGTGCCTTGGTAAATATGTTTGCAATTTGATCTTCTGTAGTGCAGTACTCAAGTTGAATTTGTTTAATCGCTTCAGCCTCTCTGATGAAGTGATATTTAATAACTATATGTTTTGTTCTTTGATGATGAACAAGATTCTTTGTCATTGTTATTGCTGATTTGTTGTCGCAATAAATAGTAGTTGGTCCATCTTGTGGTTTGCCCATTTCTTCAAGTATTCTTCGTAGCCATATTGCTTGACTTGCAGTTTCAGTAGCAGCTACGTATTCTGCTTCTGCTGTTGATTGTGCCACAGTTGTTTGCTTCTTTGATGCCCATGAGAAAAAAACCCGATCCAAGTGAGAAGGCGTATCCTGACGTACTCTTCATGTCGTCTATTGATCCTGCCCAATCACTGTCAGTGTAGCAAATCATCCTTGAGTTGGTCATGGTCTTGTACCACATACCAAACTCTCTTGTGTCTTGCAGATACCTTAAAATCCTTTTTCCTGCTCCATAGTGAATCTTACTTGGCTTTTGCATGAATCTTGACAGAAGACTTGTAGCATATATAATGTCTGGTCGTGTAGCTGTGAGATATAGAAGGCTTCCGATCAAACTCCTGTATTGTGATACATCTACTTCTGGTGCTCCATCATCTTTCTTTAGCTTTTCGTTTACCACCAAAGGGATAGCGACAGGTTTACATCCGTACATCTTGAATCTCTTTAATAGAGCTTCAGTATATTTCTTCTGAGAGATAAATATTTCTTCTTTTTGTTGTATCACCTCTATCCCGAGGAAGTAGTTCATCAAGCCAAGATCAGTCATTTTGAATGTTTTCATCATATCTTCTTTGAATTCTTTCATCATTTCCTTATTGTTTCCTGTATAGATGAGATCATCAACATATAAGGAGACAATGAGATTATACTGATCTTGTGTCTTGATATAAAGTGTTGATTCACTCTTGCTCTTCCTGAATCCTTGATCGATAAAATATTTATCAATTTTGCTATACCATGCTCGAGGAGTTTGCTTCATGCCATATAGAGCTTTTCTTAGTCTTAGTACTTTTCCTTCATGACTTTTGTTGATGAAGCCTTGTGGTTGCTCAACATAGATCTCTTCTTCAAGTGTTCCATTGAGAAAGGCGGATTTGACATCCAGTTGATGGATGTTCCAACCTTTTTGTGCAGCAAGTGCTATTAAAGCTCTAATTGTATCCAGGCGAGCAACTGAAGCAAAAATCTCATTGTAGTCGATTCCAGGTTGTTGTGAGCAGCATCCTTTTGCGACCAATCTTGCCTTATATTTTTGTATGGTTCCATTAGGGTTGAGCTTAGTTTTATATACCCATTTTACTCCAATGATATCTTTTTCGTGAAGACAGTCCACAAGCTCCCAAGTATTATTCTTCTCAATAATTTTGATTTCTTCTTCCATAGCCTTGACCCATACTTCTTGCTTTGAAGCTTCTTCATAGCAGGAAGGCTCAATGATGGTCATGTTACAAGTTTCATATATATCCACCAAAGATCTTACACGTCTTGGTGTAGACTCTGGTGAAGTATATTCTTCTTCTTCTTGTGGAGGTGGAGAAAACGTACCTATATCTCCTGTTTCTTCTTCAGGTTGTTGTATTGGAACCAGGATGTTGCTTCTAACAACTTTTTCTTCTTCCCAATTCCAAAAAGCATTTTCGTCAACCTCAACATCTCGATTGATGACGAGTTTCTTTGTTTGTAGGTTGTAGACTTGATAGCCTTTTGATTGTTGGTTGTATCCCAAGAATATTCCTCTTATAGTTTTGTCTTCAAGCTTATGCCTCCTCTGATAAGAAACATGTATGTAGCAAATTGATCCAAATATTCGTAGGTGTTTAGCTGATGACTTTCTTCCACTCCAAGATTCAATAGGAGTCTTGTTTTGGACTACCTTAGTTGGACATCTATTGAGTATATACATGGCAGTGTAGACCGCTTCTGCCCAAAACGTGTTTGGCAAGCCTTTCTCCTTCAACATTGATCTCACCATTTCCATCACTATGCAATTCTTTCTTTTTGATACACCATTTTGTTGTGGTGTATATGCAACTGTAAGTTGTCTTTCTATTCCTTCATCTTCACAGAATTTATCAAATTTGTCGGAGGTGTACTCTTTGCCTTGATCGCTCCTGAGCACCTTTATCTGTTTTCCTCTTTGCTTTTCGACAAGGGCCTTAAATTTTTTCAATATTCCAAAGACTTCTGATTTTGCTTTAATGAAGTAGACCCAAGTCATTCTAGAAAAATCATCAATGAAAAGAATGAAGTACATGTTGTTATTAAGCGATGAAGTCCTCATCGGTCCGCAAATATCTGTGTGGATTAACTCCAACAAGTCTTTTGCTCTCCAAGTATTTCCCATAGAAAATGGTAATCTATGTTGCTTTCCCAGAAGACATCGTTCACAAGCTTCGTTACTCTCCTTAAGGTTTGGTAGATCTCTCATCATGCCTTTTTGATGTAGTAGCTTTAAGGCATGAGTATTGAAGTGGCCAAATCTACAATGCCATAGCCACAAGTTATCAACTTCTACTTTCATGACAATGTTAGTTCCTCGATTGAAGCTTATAGGAAAAATTCTATTTCTCTTTTCCATTTTTACTTGGCCAATCTCTAGATTTTTCTTATCATAGATAGTGCATGTATCTCTTTCAAAGTGGAGAGTATATCCTTTCTCCATCATTTGACCAATACTTAAGAGATTTTCTTTAAGATTGGAAACTAGTAAGACATCATTGATAAGTCTCATACATTTCTTGGTCTCCACCATAATACTGTCTTTTCCTTTTGACTCTACCACGGTGCCATTTCCCAATCGCACTTGAACTTTGACGGAGTTATCAATTTTTTTGAAGATGCTTGGATCATTCGCCATATGGTTACTACACCCGCTTTCTAAGTACCATCTTCCTTTTGATTCATTATCAGAACATCCCGTAGCATAGAAGAGATGTTGTTCTCTGTCCTGTTCTTCAGCAAAATTTGCTTGTTGATGATTTTTGTTGCGACACATTTTCTCTACATGTCCAAATTTCTTACAGTATTAACATTGAGGTTTTCCTCGATGCCAACAATCTTTTTCCAAGTGACT